ATTTCTGTACATGTAATATGTCTACTGTATCACCACATCCAATTTCAATTCACATAATTTGTATTTGCTATGATATAAACTTCATTAAACAAAACATGTCCTCTCTTTCCAGAAACACTTCAAGAACAAATGCAATGCATCTTGTTTAGGTTCCCTTCCCTTTTACAGAAATATTAAGTTTCTTCTGATTCTCCGACTTTCTTCTTTGATCTTTAAAATTTCAATTGAAGATCCTCTTCTCAATCAAATTGAGAGGGTCATAATATGAGTCGATTACGATTTGCAGATTGTTTTTTTCAAAAATTACTCCAATTTCGCTTTCAGTTTAGGTAATTTGCCTAACTACCAATTTTTCCCTTGCAATTCCAAGAAAACCTTAAAAAAAATTACAGCTAATTAGATCTGACTATCAAATAATACAATGCATATAGTTTTTATTTAACATTTAACTGATAATCTTTATCTAACAGCCTTTCCTTATACCCTAAAGAACAAGCACATAGAACTATTCCCTCATACAAATTATTACCCCGTCTCAAATCAGCTATAAGTTCTTTTTCTAGAAAAAAATACCTTCATCAATCAATGTACAACATTTCATTGATATTAGTTGACACTCCAATCAGAACAAAAATTATCAAGACAAGTTTTATAAACAAATACAACTCAGCGAACTTCCTATAAAAAAATTTATTCAGTTGTTAAAACTGACTCTCTAAAACTTTTGTGAGTAATATTCCTCTTCCTGATTTAGTATCCATGAACCAAAAATGAGAAAACCAAATTTTTAAAGGTGGCCTAAAAATTAAACAGTAACACAAAATAATCAATTAAATACATACACCACTACCTACAGCTTCTGACCAAGTTGTTTGGATCTGCAATGCATAAGCTGCACCAAATTAAAGTACACATGCCATAAAATTTAACACTCTGTTTCAGTCATTAATATTAAGGATATAAAAGGTAATCTTCCATAAATAATTACAACATTCTTCCCTATTGCATGTATCTTCCATTGATACTTTCATATTTACCACCAGAGTATCATGTTCTGCATGGGTATTAATACCAACAACACAAAAATATAAGCAACAAGAGCCAAGGAAGTAATAATTTTCAAGTGTCTTCAGATATATTAAGAAAAGGTTTAATGTACCATTGCTGTATTTTATTTCCTCTAAAGTGTTGTTATTCTGCAACAATTACCCTGATTGAACGGCTCAGTAACTAAGATCAAATTATAATTTTTGCTATCCATTTTGATTATTATTTAAATATCTGTAAACAAAAAAAATCCATCACATCCCACCTTTTTGTATTATTACAATGACACTACCAGCAACCCAGCTTGTATTGTCAGTGGTGGGGTAGAGTGTTTGCATTATCTGGTGTAACCGATTATGTGAATATTATCTGGTGGAAATATTTAAGGCTGGTTATTCCTGATACTTAATCCAGGAATGATATAAGAGTGGTTGTGCATTTTGCAGTTACAATGTACAGTCAAAATGGGAAATTTTCAGCCTAGACCTTTCAAATATTCACAACATGTTTCTTCTGGATGATTTATGTCAAAATCACGACGGTTTGGTGATCAAGATAAGACTTGGGTCCCAAATATATTTTGTGCAAGTCCTCATCAGACTTTTATTTACTAGATGAAAGCCAACTGATGCTCGATTTCATTTACTTTGCCCATGGTGTGGCGAGAATCTACTACTTTTGATTATTGCTACTTCCGACTTACAAATACAGAGCTTTGTTAAAAGTATAGAAAACTGAATACCCAATTATCACTTCTGTGCTCAATCCAGATGATCATGGAGAAGGCTTACCAATACCAACTTCACCAGTGAATTGGAAAGATATTAACGTTCAAGAAGATAGTAATATTGACGAGTTTGAATATTGTGAAAATGAATTTATCAAGACACTTGTAATCCTACTTATAGACCTCGGATCTCCAGTGATCCTCATTTTATTCTTCAAAACAAACTCAATGATTTGGAGAGCAACTAAACTGAGGCCAACAAAGCAACACTGAGCGACAAAACTAAAGACTGAACAATTTGGTTCTAGATTCCAAGAGCGGAATCTATTGGTACAAGTGGCAAGCATTGCAATCCTTTCGAAAAAGCACTTACTCAGCGTTTTACAGAACAGAAGATAATATTTGGTTATTTTTAAACGAAGGTTTAATGAAAGAACTATAAATTGAACATTAATTTTCAGTGTGGTGCCTTTTTATTCATAAGATTAAATTAAAATTAATGAAAAATACAGTGAAAGCCATTGACAAAGAAGTGAAGGTGTTAAACATTTAAGATGATTTTTTCCAGTATTAAGTAAAGTAACTTCAAGGAGGTATTTTTTTGACTCTTTATTAGAAAAGTGATTTGTAACACTGTCTTAAAAAAAACAACGAAAAACTTAATCGAAAGAAGTCATCAGTTTGGAAATCGTTAGTGAAGGTGATAAAAAATACTTCTTTATAACAAAAAGGATGAACACTACAAAATCAATAGAAGAGCATTATTGGTCTTCCCAAGTCATGGGGTGTTGCATTTCACAAAAAATTAATTTCCTGCATTCTCATTTGGATTTATTGCCAAAAAATCATGGCAATGTTAGACTCTAAGACTTCACAAGGACTTTTCAAAAACCCAAAATCAAAGCCTCTGGGATCCGGAAGGTATTGCAACTACTGTGCAATTCTAAAGAATGAAAATTTGACACCACGTACAAATGAAAACATTATATTTCGTATAGAGTATGTTAATATTATTAACATGTATACTTAGCCTAAAATATGTTTATTATATAGATCACATTATTCCATGAGAAATTAAATATATTGGTAAGAAAAAAATGGTGTTCTTAATAATTTGGCAATTTTTTCCAAAACGGATAAAATTATTACAACAAAAATTGCTGTACATATTGGAACATTTAAAAAAAATATTTTTGTATTCTATATTGCAAAATCAGTTTTATACAGTTTCTTTGATAACACAAGAAAGTTCCTTTATTATCAGGTAGTGTATTTAAGTAAGAAATCAAAGCATGGAAAATAAGAAGGAGCATTCTTAAACTTCAAGAGATATGTCAACAGATAACCAAGTCATTGCATTTTAAACATATTAAAACATCTAAAAATTATTAGGATCAAGAAACAATGTATATCATAATTCATTAAGTAACTTGAATTTTCACTACAGGGAATATGCACACCATTAGGAATGTATTATCAACCATTTTCATCAAAATATACATTTGTAACTCTCACAATAAATACAGAAAACTAACTTTTTATATTATTATTTATTTAACTAATTTTTATTGTAACTGAAAAATGACATTACAGCAATGTCAAGAGTGAGCAGAGGATGATACTTGTCATCCTCATTAAACTCAATAACACGATTAGAGCACAATAAAATATGTTAAACTTTTTCAAACGATTATTAATATTTCAATGCACTAACATTCCATGATACACCATAAAGTGTAGAAGAATAAAATTTCTTCCCTCTAATACAAGGGAAACCAGAGACAAATGCTAGTAGTTGCCATTGCAGAAATTCATACTGCAAATAATTCCTAATATTACACTGAATTCACATTACAACTATAAGGTTTTAAAAATTATATTTTGGAATTAATTCATAGACACAAATACTAATATTACAGAAAAATAAGACAGACTATGAGAAGTCAAATTACATAACCACAAACTTCATCTTTACCAACTTAGCTAATAAACTTCCTGCAACATTAACACTACTGCTCTGCAATACACACCTACTTGTTCAATTCATTGTAATTATTTATATAAGATAATAGAAAATAACATGATAATACTTTCTTATTCATATCAGTTGGAGTTGTTTTACTACGAAAAAAATACACCAACACGTATTTTGTCTACAAATATTTAACCATTGGTAATAATTGACCTTTATTAGATCTGACCCTGAAAACCACAATATGAACTAAAATCAACTATTAGGTAAATTGTCCTCAAAAATCTTATAGTAAATCATGTCTATGAGATATTTCATACAGTAACCTCATGTTAGAAAAACAAATGGGGTTAACATTTTGCAGAAAATGTTCATAAGCATGCATCAACAATGACAAACAAGATTAAAAAGTCTATGCAAATGTCCTATACAAAAAAGCACAAGAAAGTTCAACTGTTTTAAAAGAGTCAGTTTTTTCTTCCTGCTTATTTGGCACTACTCAATTCAAGAACAAGTCTCATTAAGTTCAAAAACAGACATTTCTTTTATATTCATCTCCTAACCTCTGACAATATCTAATAGCCAATGATCAATTCCCAATATGTAAAGACATAAGCCCCACACACCAAGAGAAAGCTAATTCAATAAGCAACTCATTCAATTAATAGTTGGTGACTAAAAGAAGGTTAACAAACAAAATTTACGAAAAGGCAGCTAACAACAATTTATTTAGAGGCAATTTTAATTTGAGCCTAATAAAAACACAAAATGTAGATATTAAATTACAAAGTTCAATCACTGTCACACAACCAAGGGCACCCTAACATGGGGCACACCCACTTTTGAAGTACATGTTCAAAACGCATGTTAAAATTCCACAACATATTTACTATGGATATTTCAAGATTTACATCTAATAAATGATGTTAAAATACACAGTGGCAGTTGTTTAAACTAATATTTCCATATGAATGACATGGTAGTAAACATAACACAAGTAATTGAACAACGATTTCAGAAAGACCAATGCAAGTAAACAACCAGGAAATACACCAAAATCTCTAGCCTGAAAGCAGCATAAGCACAAAATGGAATTTTGAGCCATAAACTTACCGGCTGAGAAACTCATATCCATGCTGAACGCTGAAATCGAACTATCAAATGCGTTCTACTTTACCACAATACACGTAATTGTACATACGAGCACTGTAAAGGATACGAAGTAGTACGTGGGTAATGTTGAGAATATCCTTGTGTCTGTCCACCTTGATGTTTTCCCTTTGGCATGCTCATGGCAACGTGTGTTGTAGTACGTTTGAAGTCCTCATAGAAGGACCTTTCGTTTCGATTAGAATACTTCGAATAATCTCCTGTGAAGCAAAGTTTTAGAATGAAAAACACACGCCATAAAACTTGCTGATTTATCTAAAATTAAAATTTGCTTATAAATAATTGTTAAAAGGTAGATGTTTTGCGATATTTCTGTATTTCACAAACAAGCACCTTTCCTAGTTCTTCAAGGAGATGTCTTCGTTCAATTCCGTGAGTCATTCGGGTACAGTCGGCGGGTAAAGGTCGAAAAATGGCGCTGGGGAATATTTGATAAAAATTTACGAAAAGGTAAAATATTTTCTAAACAACAATACACACTGACACACTTCAAAAAGTCTCTCTTCTGAAGCACTTTATGTCACAGACATATGGAACAAGTTTCTTTTTCTTGCGAAACACTTCTGCAACACTAAACATTGTGCTTGAAAACATAGAATTTGAAGCGGCAGCGTACCGCCATCTTCAGCAAGAAGGGTCATAGTTTGAGAAGTCGGCGCGAAAACATTGTACTTCCGCCGAATTTTGACTTCATATTAATTGTCCTAACTTCACATTTAAAGATAATGATGATGGCATTTGTGTTTATCCTTAACGATGACAACACATCCACATCACTTATTAGTCCACTTGTGTTAAAAAGTAACAGATCTCACGTTCCAATCGCAGTTGCAGTTATTGAAGACGAAAATCTCCAGCACAATTGCGGAGGTTGACGTTCTTGTGTTTACAAGTTGGTGGAAAGTTTGTCGACAATTGGAAGGAGTAAAATAGATGAGTTAGGAAGCAGTTAGTAAACAAGAAATACATGAAAGTAGACAGTTGTGGACAATGCCATCTACATTCCTATTAAGCGCAATGAACAACAGTGAATTCTGCAGAAATCACTTACAACGCTTTTATGGAAATCTTGTTTGTAGGCTGTCAGATACTGAATGAATTGCGTTTTTTCCCCTTCAGATCGTGCTGTAAGAAATCACTGAATTCTAACAATGAGCTCTCGAGGACAAGTGGAAACGGAGAAATTGAAACAGAATCTGGAAAACCAGTTGGATCGTCTGGTTCAACAACTAGCTGAATTGGAAGAATGCAAGTAAGTACTCCTGTCAGATTTTATCTTAAGTTAGCAAATAGTTTTGTTGTAACGTGTGTATTGGTTTTGTAGAGAGAATAATGTTTCAGGAATGATATGGATGAAAATGAATATTCAGAAATGAGAAAAGAAACTATAGATCAGCTTCAGGAATTCAAGGAGTCTCTGTCCAAAATGATGTCAGGAGATATGACTTTAGTTGATCATTTAGGGTCAATGCATTTGGTACGTATTCTTCACTGATTTAACTCTTAATGTATGTGTAGTTCTTTAGAATCATACTATGTTAATCACGCAGGCTACGCAAGCTGCTATCAGTGCAGCTTTCCAGACTCCTGCTGTAATCCGCATGTTTGCACGCCGTGAACCAGGGCAGCTGAGAGAACGAATGGCTGAAGTGGATCGAGATGTGAAACTTGGCAAAATTCCTTTGGATGTTGGAAATAAAGAAAAAGTATGAATTTAGCAAAGATAATTTGTAACTTAATGTCAGATTGTACAAAACTTTGGTGATAATTGCTGTCTTTATTTATTTATCAATGTATTTCTAACTTGCATTACAGATGTACATTGTTGGATCCAACTTGCTTAGTTTTAAAAATTCGTATCATTGGTTCACAGTAAAGGTATCATTTAAAAAAAATTGTTAAATATTTTACTTCAGAAAATAAAATATATGTAGTAGTTTAATCTATACATTGTAGCCAGCATGCATTGTTGAGTATGATTAGACCACATTGAATCTCTTCATTTTGTATTTCATCTAATATTGTGCAACCTTAGATTTAAAAAAAAAAATTATCATTGCAGTTTGTATTCTTTGGTGCTGTTAAGCTGTAAAACTATGATTTTCTTCCGTTAGACAACTCAGGTCCTGCCTTTATTTTCTAGAATTCCAAGTTAGTTTCTTTTATTTTTTTAATATATATTGTGAATTGTGCCACATTTGATATCCATTCAGTTTTTTTTGTCTGTAATTTTCTTTTTTATGTCTTATGTTCGACATAAAAAGTTATAACAGACCATTTACTACCACAATTTTTGAATGTACATGGTACATGGTTACCTTTAAAGGCCAAAACTTTCATCTTTCTGAAAGATTAAAAATAAAAATGCTCACACAATTGGTTTAAGCTGCACAAAGATTTTTGCCTATCATTTTCTGTTTACTGTAAAATTATTTGGGTATCAGCAAACCTTAAGGTATTTTTACATTTGTTTTTGGTATATTGCTTTATACCTGGATTTACTTCATTTTTATATTGTCATATAATGTCTATGTATACAACTAAAGTAGGTGTACACTATTGTCTCATTCCTAATAAAATTTTATTTTCTTCTTTTCCAGTGTTGATGAAAATTTGTATATTTCTATATCTAGAATTATGGCTGAAATGTAGCATAAGGTACAACCTAAGGAAGTCGTTTAAACCGGCACTTCGCGTCGTTCTGGCGTTAACTAGGCAGTTAGAATTCTGGAGGCTTTCTTGAAAAGTGATGTCTTATAAAAGTGGATTGGTAATTATGTGTTGGATAGACTCAAGGATGATTATAGTGAACGCAAGGGCCAAAGGCCCGAGCCTCGATGTGACTTGGATCCGGACGAGCAAAGCGAAAAAACTTTGGCTTTGGAAGTAAATCGGTATTACAATGCGGGGACAAAGCATATGAAGGGCAAACCATGAAAATCGCCTATCTTTAAGTTTTATTCATTTCTCTTAGAGCACGTACAGTAATTAGGACTTAAGCCTTGCCGCCACACTTCTCTAAGGGTGTACCATATAATAAATTTTAACCGAATTATCATTACATTGATTAAATGTGTGGAATATTCTCCGTTCCAAATTATATTCCATAATATTCATCTGTTGAACAAACTCAAATTCATAGTGTATTTTCATGGTTCATAGTATCATGTTAATGAAGAGGTTAAATTCTCTTCTTTTCTCTATTAACTGTCCAATTATCATTACATTGTTTCAGCAAGGTTTATTTTTTATGAAACCACTTCGTTCATTCTCTAACAAAATATCAGCAATTTTCTGTATGCTATTGTTAATAATCTTTTGCACATAAATTATGATCTGGGTTCTTCTGTAACTCTACAGCTCTTTTTGGGCCTTTTCAGCTTTATGTACAATAGCATTCCATCTTCATCTGTCTTCCAGTTTTTCACCTTCATGATGTTAAGGTCTTTTCCAACATGTCATCTTTCCATCTTTTTTCTCTGCCATTTCTTGGGAATTCCAGCATTCATTCATCAGATACAAGAGCCTTTATTCTAAAAGAATTCCTTCTCAGATTATCAGTTCTGTGTTTATTCCATTAGGTCGAGGTGCTTTTCTATTCGAGTCTAAGCTTCATGGAGCAAATCACATCTATACGATTCAGTTCTGGTTGTGTTAAGTTTTATAATACATACAATCAATATGTTTCACCAATAAAAGTATATAATTATTTATCCTTTCCCTTTTGTGAATAGTTGGTAGACCTGCTGTATCTCATTCTGCTTTGTTTAAGCGTTTCATAAGGTATGTCTTGTCTGCAATGTATTTCATTTTCTACTTGGGGTATTATCTCAGGATTAAATTAACTCTAAATGCTAGATTTGTTAGTGCTTGAAGATTACTTTACATACATTACATAACCTTACTCTATTGAAATACCTCTACTGTAATCTTATGAAAAAGAAATTTAACAAATTTTTTTTCCAGTCTTCCGAGCTTATTCTGCTCTCTAAATAACATGCATGATGTGGTAGTAATTTTGTCCTCTAGCAAAAACTTTTGATGCTTGCAGTTGGAGATTCTACGTGCGTTACAACAATTGGGAGAAAAGCTAACTTCTGGAGAACTGCAACTCTTGAGTCAGCAGCATTCCGGGTCCCATTTTACTGAAGTGTCTGATAGTGCAGGTATGTAAGATATATACCAGCTCCCTCCTCAGATATGTGGTGTAATTGCTAGTGTTGATGTCTTAATGCTTCATTCCACCTTCAGTATTTTCTTTTGCTCTTATTATTTTGGATGAAAGCAAAAAGGATCATTTTCTTATAATAAAAGCATATCAACCCTTTGACTGCTAATCACTGCATGCTGCTGGCATGTTCGCTATGCTAACTCATCATTCAGGTGTGGGGCCTGCAATGCTGAGCACTTAGTGCAGCTGCATGGCGCTGTCAGTGACCCAAGAAAAATGACCCTAGCTCCATATATCTGCAACAAATGGAAGTCTTAGAACCTTAGGATGGCCCCAGATATTGTCACAGAAGCATAATACGTAATCTTGAAGGGAAAGAAACCAAACACTAGTGAGAACATGCAATGCCCCCTGAGCTGAGGATGTACATGCAAGTCTCAGGTGTGCAAACATGTTCATAGCACATGGGGCACCTATCTGGCTGGATATGCAGGCATGCTCATAGCAATCAAAGGGTTAAGCAATTGCAGAATTCACCTAAAAATGTTATTGTGCGAGTAGTAATATTTTAGAACACTTTTCAACAAAATACACACTAAATTAATTCTATTTTTTCTCATACACAATAGTAACACACTTTTTTTTAGCAATATTAAGATTTTTATTTTAAAATTGAATTATTATTTATTCTTAAAATTCAATTTCTTACAAAAAATGTATATTACCATATGTTGTGCAAAATGATCTTAATTTTGATTGACTTACATGATTTTATTTTTATATTTACTTAAATTCGTTGCAATGTTCCTTATTTTTGAATTATTGAATGACAAAAACAAGACCTAAATAAGAGTTATCCAACTAGCGGCCCACGGGTCACAAAGGGCCTGCAAAGGGTTATTAGTCAAAAGGGAAAGTCCATGTCAGACAAAAGTGTCCAAGTCAGGTGAGATAATTGTGCTCCTAGCACATGTGCTCAATTTGGGTCAACTCCCCCCCCCTCCCTCCTCCCCTGTCCTTTTAATGTAAAAATTAGTCAACTTTAGATTTAAGGATTTTTCCTAATAAATTCAGAAATTCAAAATCACAGCATTGTGCTTTCACTCTGTTATGCATGGTACAGCGTGATATCACACATAGTTCCAGGCCCCCTTTGTCCATTTTAGAACAGCATTAGAGACCAACAATGCGGGGAATTCAGGTATGGATCACCTGAGTTAAGTAAAAATGGTCTGCAGTCATATTAACCCTTCAATGCCATGCCAAGGGTGAGCATTTG